TAAACCTCCTCAGATCAGCAAATTTTTTTCAGGATCACAACCCGACAGGAGTTCAGTTTAAAAAAAAACAAAAAAAACAAGGGATTTTGTAGTTTGAAAACCAGGAAAATGTAAGTTCTTTAAAGCTGATGCTGGACCTTTTTTCTCCCTTATCCTGGCAGTCGTTGACCCTTTTAAACCCTTCTGCTCATTAGATTAAATCTGCTGTATTTGCTTCTCCACTTTTTTATAGAATGGATTTGGAACATGCTATCAAAACCATTAATTTGAGATTAATCTGTGCTTTAAAAAGGACAGAAAGATAAAACCACACTCATTTGGCAGGTCCCAACAGGCATTCACATGTAAGTAAGATCGAGAGTGACCGACTGGGGAGCTTAAACGTAGAGATGTGGAGTGGGAAAGGTTTCAGATAGAATTGGAGACGAAAAAAGAAAAAATGTTAAAGCAATTTCTCAAAGAGAAAAGTGTGAGGATGGTAGGATCTTAACTGGCTGTCATGATAAAGATTTTGTGTTGGTCGGGGGTCTACTGGCGGCTCAGAATGAGCACAGGTCTCTGTGACAGCTGTTAGAAAGTGTGAAAGGCTCTGGGGTTGTAATGGATTAATCCCTAATTCCTAAAAGCTTGAGTTAACATGGTCTCTAGTAAATGCTGTGAAATGGGTCAAAAATAAAAAAACGGATAGCAGAATTCTGCATGTCCTTTTTTGTTCGGTTTCCTATTCCGACCTCTGCTCAAATCTATGATGGGTTCACCACCTGGACCCTCTTGGTGTGGCTCAGCTCTTCTCTGCTGATTGGCCAGGGAGTCACGTGACTTTTTCACTAGAGCCATGCAGAACCAACAAACGTCCGGTTTTATTCTTTCCGCCATTGTCATTGTTGTAAAACCAAAAAAACACGGCCCAACACTGAGGTTGTTTTTGTGTGTTTGTTTACCGGTTGACAAGTGCAATAATACGGTGCAATATTTATTTAGTGCAATCATTTCATTTCATTTCCACATCTTAATCCATGCTGCTTCCACATTATATTGTTTATTTTCAGATCCCAACACCATTTTAATGATTACTTATTATTATAAAATCTTATTTTTTTAGCTTTCATATTTATAGTTATATTTACATAGTGTATTTTTTTTTTTTTAGTAATTATCCACAACATTTATTACTTACAAACAGACTTTGCTTTACCTGGAAGCCAAGCAACAACATTTAGTTTTTAAATTCTCTGTGTGGCTTTGTACAGCGACGATAAAGGAAGTCTCAGTCTGAGTCTTCAGCCGGCGCGTTTCGTGGCCTCCCCGTCCTTCATCGTTGTCAGTTCTTGTGTTGCATACAAACGAAGTCACAGGCCGGTGGGCCGTCTTTCTGTCAGGACCTGGTCTGTGATGGAAAACCACCTGAACCGACCCCATGAAGACACCCTTTTGTTTCCCCCGTCCTCCCCGTCCCGTTAAGCTGTGAATGCTAAATAATCCAAACATAAACGTGAACTTTACAAGAAAGGTAAGGCTGTTTTTCCTTAAGAAAGAGCAGTGCCTCATTTTGTGTGTTTGTATAAACATCCATTTCTCAGTCCCAAGCGGAGACCTTTGGCACCGGTCGGGTAGATTTGATTTCTGTGTAAACATTGCACATTAAGTTTGAACCCACCTGCCTTTCCAGTCCAGTCACAGCACGAATACCAGATCCTCTTTTCCTAATACAACTACAACTGTTTGGAAATGCTTACCAAGAAGGAACGGCTCGCAGCTAAATGTGTCTTCGGTCTTGACTGTTCGCCTCGTGTTACCACTTCTCTGTAGATATCGGCCACTGATGGAAAAACGTTCTTTTGGAAGACGACCGGGATGCTTCAGAGTTAAGAAGGAATCCATATGCCTGCACATGGCTGTGGATACAGACGGTCAGAGGTCATCTGTCGCCCACATTTCCTGTTCCACAAAGGCCTATTTATTTGTCTGTTTATTTTCCCATAGACATTATATCTAAGAGCACACACAAACAGGAGAAGGGACATGTACTCGTGCCCATCATAGACTAAGTCAAACACTGGGTCAAAGGAGCGTGTGACTTTTGTGATCTTCCGAGTGAGGAGTGGGTGGATTGTAACAATGGAAAAGTAGAAGATGGGTGACAAGTGACAGAATGGTACAGGAAGTCTCACAGTTTTTTTTTCTTTTTCCCCTCTCACACTAACAGATATTGTCTCAGGCCAGGTGTCGTATTTTTAGATTCCTCTGCAGACCTCCAGTGTGAACACTGCGTGATGTTCCTGTTGTCGACAGGTTGTCTGAATTTATTCTGTAATCGACCACATATTTGCGTGTAGCCTGGTTTGGCTTTGTGAAAAGCCACCGAGAGGTTACGGACAGTCCCCTGGGGGCATTTTAGTTCAAGCCTATGAATTCGCTTCTCCAGAGCAACACCGAAAAGGACAAGAAAACCACTGTCAGTCATTTTGAAGTAACTGGAACATAAATGAAAATGTATGCGGCGAAGCGGGTTCAGTTTCAGGTCAGTGGTGTTTTGGGGAAGACAGAGACTTTTGTATGACTTTTGTTCTGTTGGTTGAAAAACTCCAAACAGTCTGGATGGCTCACTGGGCAGTGAAGGCGTGGGATTTATAACAGCGTATCCCTCCGCCCGTGTGAGCGCATCTCGGCCCGGGTTGGACGACGGATAACGTGCGTGTGTGTGTGTTAAATGTGAGGGCTGCATGTTCCTGAAGGGACAGGAAGGTCTGCGTTTGCCATAAGCCCAGAGGAGCCCACCAGTCAGGCATCTTTACGGTCAGGGCCCCACACACACACACACACACACACACACACACACACACACACACACAC